CATGCTCAGTAGGGGGGCCGGGTGGTCGGCGGCGCCCGGGACAGGCGGCGCCGTGAACCGTCCACCTGGGAGTGGTGCGCATGCTCAGTAGAGGGGCCGGGTGGTCGGCGGCGCCCGGGACAGGCGGCGCCGGGAACCCTCCACCTGGGAGCGGTGCGCATGCTCAGTAGAGGGGCCGGGTGGTCGGCGGCGCCCGGGACAGGCGGCGCCGGGAACCGTCCACCTGGGAGCGGTGCGCATGCTCAGTAGGGGGGCCGGGTGGTCGGCGGCGCCCGGGACCCTCCACCTGGGAGCGGTGCGCATGCTCAGTAGGGGTCCAGGTGGTCGGCGTCCGGGGCATGCTGCGCTTGCCCGGCTTTAGGCATTCCGGGCGCCGTGCGCATGCTCAGCATTGTGGTCGGCGGCCTGGCCTCCCTGCGCGTGCTCTGCAGACAGGCGGGGCCGGGAATCGGGCACCCGAGATGGCCTCGGGGCCGGGGTGTTTGGTCTGACGCGGTGCGCCGGGAGGACGCGGGTGGGTTCGCGCCGGGCACATTATTAGTGGACTATGCGGGGCGAGAGCGGGGCGGGAGACCTTGGAGACCGTCCCCTGGACCCCTGTGCGGTGCCCCGTGGTGCGCCGGCCTCCTCCGCAGGCGGCAGGTGCGCTCTCCGGGCGAGGTGCGCGCAGCGGTGCGGCGTGAGGGTCTCCTCGCGTGGGACCGCCCTCACCCCCCGCCGGCTGCAGGGCCCCCGCTGCCCGAGCCCGCTGTAATGTCCGCTCCCAAGGCGCTTGCTCCATCTGGGGCCAGAGTGGAGTGAACTCCGGTGTCCGCGGAGCCGCGCTTTTCCCCCATGAGACAGGCTCAGAGAATGTGCCAGCCCAACAGCTCTTTAGACCTCGTCTGGTCTCTCTTAGAGGAGAAGCGAGACGGTTTTCAATGGTACCTCAGGTTGAGTAGTGTTAACTTTTTTTTTTTAAAGATTTCCCCCCCTATTTTTAAGTAATCTCTACAGCCAACGTGGGGCTTGAACTCACCGCAGGCTCTACCGACTGAACCAGCCGGGCGCCCCTAGTGTTAACTTTCTAGATAAAACTGCCACCGGGGCCCCGGGGGCTCAGTGGTGAAGCGGTGAGCCTTCGGCTCAGGTCATGATCCTGGGGTCCTGGAATCGAGCCCCGCCTCGGGCTCCCTGCTCAGTGGGGGGTCCGCTTCTCTCTCTCCCGCTGCCCCTGCTTGTGCTCTCTCCCTCTCTCTTTCAAATAAAGTCTTTTAAAAAAAGAAAGAAAGCTGCCAGTTATTTCACCAGCAAAAAATGGGTTTATTTAGGAATAGCAGAGAATTGCAATCCAGTATAAGCAAACCACAGCAAAAACCATAGGCAAGTCCCTCTAATAAATGAACAATCTTTCATTAAAAAATGGGGGGTGGAATTGGGTGGGCTATTATAACAAGTCCGCTGGACTAGTGGGGTCTCCTTAGCTGGGCTGTTGCTGGGCAGAGGAACCCTTCCTTGCTCCTGCTGTGGTAAAGTGGCATCCACCTGCCAGGTGGGGCTTTTCCTGTTGGGTCTGCCCTTGACCCACAGCGCTGGGTGTAAGGGCTACCCCTGCTGGTCCCCTGGCTCCGTTGTAAACAGGGTTCCTTTTCGTTCACGGTGGGCGGAAATGAAGCCAGGGCTAGCCTTCTTGCCATTAAGAGGACTTCTCTACTAAACACTTAGATTTTGGGCCTATGTTAATTTTTACAGATTATTTATCTTTTCCTAGCCCAAGATTTAACACTTAACCTACTGGAAAGTACCGTCTTTGAGGCAATCAAATGGTATATAATGTCTATTATGATAGGGAAATAAATTTTGTTTTATCATAAAATCAATTTATCTGCAATCTAAACTATTAGAAGAGTCAAGTTACTGTACTTTGGGGATTTCATTCTGCTTTTTACAGTTTAAGAGCAAGAATGAGATACTGGTCAACTTGTGAATGTATCCAAAGGATAAAATACCACATTTTAAAAGGCATCTTTTAGTTATTCCATGGGGTCAGACCCAGTTCCTCCTACTTTCTAGTTCTGCTCTGGATAAGTCAAAGGGCTATCAAAATTAAATTATGTTTAGGGGTGCCCGGCTGGCCCAGTCGGTAGAGCATCCAACTCTTGGTCTCAGGGTCATGAGTTCATGCCCTATGTTGGGCATGGAGTATACTTAAATAAGTAAATAATGTTTATTCTGTGGTTTTCGTGTCCTGTGTATTTTTATATACTTCCTTCGTAATAACTGTTCTTGGTCAGTGGGAACAAATGGAGCATTTTTTCATATCTGGTATCAGTGACATCAGCAGAGTGATAAAAAGCTCTGTCTCATACACATAATTTGAAGTTAGATTGTTTTAGTGTGGAGCAGTACTGTGCATATCATGAGGTAGATTTGATAATTTTGGGAGTCATCTTTGTAGAACTTAATGTGTTGATGACCAGTATTTTAAGATATTCTGGAGTTTGCTGTTCAGTAGTTGTGATAAAATGTGCATTTTATCGCAACATAATGCAAGGTATGCTAAATTCGTTGCCAATAGTTTGAAGTAGGAGTGCAGATAACTCTGGCTGGGGTCCTAGGGGAGTGCTTCATGACAAACGTGTTAGAATGGGACCTTGAAGAAGAGATAGGGTTGTGATAAATGAAAATAATGAAGGAGATTTCTAGGTGTAGGAAGCTGTCAGGAGCAAGGATGTGGGGATGTGAGGCATCTTTTGGAGAGTAGCAAATAATCCTATTTGGTTTAGAATGTAGATTTTTTTAAAAAAAACAGGTGATAGGGACAGAGGAGTAGAAAAGGCAGCTGGGGCCACATGATGGAAGGCCTCTCATACCAGTTTAATGAATATGGGTTTTATTTGTAGGCTTCCAGAGCATCAGTCATTTCAGCCAAGGGAAACAGCTGACCAAAGAGATGCCATAGAGGGATCAGTTAGACCTGCAGAGGATTGGTGCTGGAGGAACAGGACTGGGGAGGAGGTGGGGTTGGTGACCTTGGACGGGGTTGGTGACCTTGGACAGGCTTGGCCATGGATGTTTCACCTGGGCTCCTAGCAGTGGGACTAGAATGGGGATGTAGAATCCCGCAGGAAGAACTGCTGGGGAGAAGGGAGGCAAGAATTAAGTACAACTGCACTCTCCTTAGCTATAATGGAGAATTGGGAAACCCTCCAGAGAAATAGGGAAAAGAGGGGAAGGAAGGTTAATTTGCAATTGACAGAGGACTGGATGATAAATTTGGAGTGCAATCATATTGGAGATCCAGAGAGAGAACACTTCTTTGTTTCCTTGCATTCCTGTGACCTCTTTTTTGTTGTTGTTTAAACTCTAATAGTTGGATGCTGACAAATATGAGAATGATCCAGAATTAGAAAAGATCCGAAAAGAGAGAAACTATTCCTGGATGGACATAATAACCATATGCAAGGATAAACTACCAAATTATGAAGAAAAGGTAAGGTAACTCTAAATTCTTTGAAGAGGGGAATCGTTATATTCACTCTTATTAAACACAAGCTTCTTTGTTTTTTCTTTTTTTTTTTTTAAGATTTAATTATTTATTTGAGAGAGCATGCAAGTGGGGGGAGGAAGGGCAGAGGGCAAGGAAGAGAGAATCCCAAGCAGACTCCCTACTGAGCAGGAAGCCAGACATGGGGCTCCATCTCACGACCCTGAGATCACAACCTGAGCTGAAATCAAGAGTTGGACATTAAACTGACTGAGCCATCCTTTTTCTAATTTCTTAACATGGTTGCTGAGGTCATGGACTTGCAGCCTTCTTTTTTAACGTAGGTATTTAGTGCTGTAGATTTCCCCTAAGTACTGCTTTT